CGACTGGAAAATATTTCACTAGAAGCACTTAACCGGTTTCGCGGTTCTTGCCGCTCATCCGCCATGCGTTTCCGATAGTCTTCTGTCTTTTCATTGATTTACTTGTAGCCAAGATGTATATTTTCGTCACAGTAACCTCATTTGCCACACCGGGTAAATTTGTTTAGACAGCTGTTTGAGAACCAGTCCATTGACGAAACAGTACTATGACTTAATGTTTTGTAGGTGGGTTAGATGCTGCGAACTGCAACAAAGCGACTTGAGCATCTTTATGAAACATTTTACAATAAGTAGTATGCAAATGACTGGAATATATATATATATATCTTTGCTCGGACAGGATTCACTCAGCCAGTTGTAGCTCCAAGGAAACTTTGTCCTGTCATTCTGATATTACTCACTGTAACAAAATAATAATAATAATAATAATAATAATAATAAAATCTTGCGGTAATAAGGCTCACTAAGGAAATTCACGACAGGATACCCTGCCTATTCACCGTAAAACCATATTCAACTTGGTTGCAATAGTTAATTTTCATCTTATTTCCGAGTATTGTTTAATTTTAAATGATCACTTGAAGAATTTCTCAGTGATGATTATGAATACTGCATAAAATCGCATCAAATGTAGCATTTTTATTCACTTAGCTATTGATCGTTTTTCATCTCTTCTTTTCATTCCACGGAGGTTTATCTGACGCTTGATCTGAAACGCTGTTTGTGTAAGATAGAAGTAGCCTTACCAACGGACAGTGTGCTTCTGTTTGTTTACCCTACCACAGCTTTTTAAGGCTGGCAGGTTCCACAAACATTTAAAACCGACAAGGAATTCAAACTGATTGTATCGATCGGGAAAAGCCAAATCCCCACTGACCATTGACATCGACGCACACCCGCACCCACCCCCGCACACACACACACACACACACACACACACAACGCACTGATAACGAACATGCAGCAGGTTTAAGGAGTGGTGCGTTCCGTATTTGATATCAATCGTGCAGCGTAGTGTTTAGAGCTAAATTAAACTACTAATTGCGATGGAAATAGTGACAAAGGTAGGAAACATGGTAAAAAAATAAGGTAAACAAAACCCCGGGCTTCTGGATTTTGTAAACTAATGACCATTGTGCAGGATTATTTTCATTTAATCTGGTCAGTTACCTCGAAACAAACCAATTGTAAATCGATTAATTCCCTATAGAAATTTCTCTCGGACTCTTGAATAGCGGCCCACTTATTGATGAAGTAATTTCAGGAGAAAAAGGAAGAACCCAAAAATGGAATAAGAACAAGAATTTTCAGGAAGCTGGGGCGTGTGTACCTTTCTGTCTGTCTGTCTGTCTGTCTGTCTGTCTGTCTGTCTGTCTGTCTGTCTGTCTGCCTGAGTGCATTTATACGCTTCCCATTAATCTTCTTCCTAATCTTCTTCTAACGAGCTTCATTTTAGTGTCAAATTGAATGAATTCTTGCTATTTGTGGACAATTTCCTGCCGTTTACGAAAACTTATCTCGTGTGTTTCCTCCCATCCGTTTCCCTGCTCCTTCGGTTTCACCATTTCCTATTTTTACCCAGTTGTTCACGTCCTTCGATCAACTGTTCTATGAACGTTCCATTTAATACGGGCCAGCGGAATTCCTGTTCTCTATGCCAGGAGAATTGTGCTTCTCTGGTCAACAATTCTTGTCCGAAGCCACTGCGATCCTCCCCTTCATCCACGGTTCCTCCTCCTCCACAACACGTTCCTTCCTGTTCACCAGATGACCGTGTAGGTCTTATCAACCCCTCGGATCTGCCCTTGCTCAATTCGGATACGCAGTCCGTTCTGCCAGGATATCTCGACACAGTATCCAATCAAAACGCACATTTAAACACTCCAATTGCATCCCTACCCATTTCATGTCTTTCAGTCTCCAACACAAGAGACCACCTGAGCAAAACCGACGCTAACCACGTAAACAACGTCACTAACGAAACCGAAAACTCTAAAACCAAACTGATCCCAGACTCGGGCCAAACACGGTTACGATTACCCACCGAGCAGGCCACAGCCACAATTCATCAGCCCTGTCCTAATCCCTGTCCATCCAGTCCGACGCGGACAAAACGTCGTAGCTCCTCTTTTAAACTGACTCAAAACTTACGAAATGGATCTAATAAGCTGGTCGATTATAGCACACACAATGTCACCGTCAGACACCGGTCGGACACGTCTTTGCATAATCCGTTCAACTCAATTGGTGCTCCATCAGCAAATCTCCCTGAAACCAGTCCCCTAGACAAATCCTCCGGCACAAGGCATCGGTGCTTTGTGATTCGCCAATCAACCACCGAGACGGCGATCGATCGGAATGAAGAGATAAATCTCCCAGGTCACGTGACAGTTCAAAGGGCTGGTTCTGTACCGAACGAGTCCTCATCCGCGCACCCGTATGGAAATGAGGCGACCGCGGACATGCGCAGCTCCGATACCGCACCAGTGGCCCTGAAACGTGGCAGCATTGTGAACGGGACTGGGGACGTGGGCGCGGACAGACGAAAATCACGTCAGACGGACAATACCACCGAACTGTTGGCTCGACGTACCTTGAACGGGGGTAGTACATTGTCCTTAACAGCAGATCCACGATCTCGAACGTGTTGTTTCTGTTGGTGTTGTTGTTGTTCCTGTTCTTGGTAAGTATTTCACCATGATGTTAATGAGAAAATGTGTGAAATCCAATAGACCAGCAGAAAATAACGTTCTGAAGATCATTATCACTCGAATATTATTTGACATCACATGATTACATGAAATGAAATCGAAGCTGTAATCCCTCATTAGATATATTATCTCATAAGTTTCTGATGGAAGTTGTCGCAGCAGTCAACTAAACCAAATGGGAGCCATAGCAACAAAGAAAAACATGTGTCTATGACCAAGACTTTAACCTTTTCTGTAGCTAAGTATACTTGTATGACTCATCTGAGGCAATTTTGTCGTCCATGATCAAAGAAACACACGGCCGACGGCCATAACCTTGTGCGAATGGCTCAATCAATTTAGAGTATCAAGCTTGGATTAGCCCATTCGATTGTTCAGAGGCACCAGGCACTCTTGGTGGTCAAGAATGTGGATCAATAGTGCCTGGTACCTCTGAATAATCGAATGGGCCAATCCAAATTTGAAACTCTAAACTCTTTTGATCTGTTTTTTGACCGTCAAACCATTACTTACTATTGCATCAAACGAGGGTTACAGCACTTTCCCGTTCCCGCGCCCTCGTCACACATATCACATCGTATCTTTGCTCCGTATAACATAATCCGTAGACCAATTGGATTCCAAGCCAACGGACTGCACGTGCTGGCGGAGGGGGTGGGATAATGACCACCCACTCCCTTCACCAAACCCTAATTCCCAATTTCCATTCGACGAATCAAACACGCGCGGGCGTTTCAAGCGTGGTTTTATCTGCGTTGTAGATTAAAAATCAGATCCTGTCATGGTGACTCTCTCTCTCTGTATCGCGCGCACGCTCTATCACTGCTTAAGTCGTTCAGTATGTCATCGGTGCGCGCGAATTGTAAATTTTCCGCAGTTGGTTTTATCTGTTTTCGCGACGAGCGACTGAGAGAGAGAGACAGCAAGAGGAAAAACGGAGAATTTTTCCCGTCCTTGATGATGGGACGAAACGACACTGATTTTGTTCCCCAGGATAAAGATTGGAAAGTGATAACATTTGTAGGAATCATCAAGTCAGCCAGTGTTCGATTAGCAGACCGACCAGATGCATCTCATTATCCTGTGACCGATTTCTTCCATTTGGTGAAACCGGTACGAATAGTGTGCACAGCACCATCATTATGATCACCACCACCAACACCACCACCACCAGAAACAACAGCGAGAATAACAACATTACCAATGATAATAACAATAACACCAAAAGCACGATTATAATCTGAAGTCAGACTTTAATAGGGTACGAACCCGGTTTGGTGTTCAACCAGGGGGAACATTCGTGACTGTAAAACAGTACAAACTGTATCCACTTATTGAAAAGCTGAAAATGTCGTACGAGATTCTCCCTAGTATGATATTACTTTCATTTATGTTTCACGAAATTAGTTAATTGACGGTTGTCTATGGGTATTTATCTGAGATAAGTGCCACACTCCAGAAATCAGCTTTGAGCACAATCCTCAATTCATTCAGTTAACCACTCTTAGAAGTATGCAATCAGGTGCCTGCCCACTTTACTGTGATCCTTTTTTTAAGCTATCGACTGAATATTTTGGAAGATGAAATTGCAATCAAACCCGAATAGATTATCTGCTTTGATGCGCTCCTTCCTGGGGGTTGGATTTCAAATTCCGGACACACACGCCCTCTCACACGTACTAAGGATAAACTCTATCAAGTGTTCAAGTTTCATCTTGTGCTTCTCGATTGTGCGTGGTGGACAAAATTGAGGAGTGGTTAGCCGGTCTCAAAATCTACCGCTATCATGAAAACTCGTATGAAGACTTAAGCAAGGGAATATTCGTTTCAGTGAGTCGGACAGGGCTGTGTAAGATATAGTGAACGGGGCTGAACAAAGGAAAATATTTGGGCTTTGGTTCCATGGCAAGCGTAGTGGGAGAATTGCGTTCTTCCGGGTATAAAATATGGATATAGTCCATTTAGTCCCGCTCGGAAACAAGCATCCCGGAAAGCGAAGGTGAATTTGATTCCGTGGCCGGTCAAGTGCATGTATTGTTTGATGAAAATGCCTATGTGGTCTGAGCCAGTGCTCATTAGCAATTGTTTCGGTATGTGTGCTGTGTTGGACACCCGGGAGGGGGGAGGGAGGAGCCAAGCAAGCATCCTTCGAGTGATACACACCGAATGGGTGAAGCTGCAACTTGCCAGTTCAGGTGTTACTTGGCCCCTCAAATTCAACCCATGAGGTTAAGGAAAAATTCCGAGCTGGCCTACACTGAGATCCACTGGGTACAGGGCAGTATGCTGCGTGAATAACGACTAATCAGCCAATCTGTGTACGTACACGAACGCGGACATGGATTTGATCATTGTGATGAGAGCTCAAATCATGCCGCAGCTGGCTCGCATCGGGTGTCACGTGACTGGTCGGTCTCGCTATCGACCTTACCACTATCGACCGTCCTAATGATTGTTGATCTGTAGTTCACCCGTCGTGTTCACGTAATTACAGTCAGCCCGTTACAGTTCAGTGACTTGTATTCTTAAGCAGGGGCATACAGTCATAACAATTATCTTACAAAATGAACCATAAGATTGCATTTTCTACCTCGAATCACACACTCGGTTCAATACTATCCTGGTCCACTGCCCCAAACGTCCACAGGTCAAATTGATAACATCTTTTATCATTCTTTTTCTATAAGTATATGAGCATAATCAATTTCCAATAGACTTTTCCTTTAACTGATCGTCTTTAGGTGTTGCGGCTACAAATGTTTCTTTTTTGCGTTCTTTCCAGTATGCGTGTTCGTGCCAACTTGCAAGATTCCAAGCGACCATCGGCCTCTTTGGATCCTCAATCCCGATTGGATGAGATAAGTGCGGATGAGAAGTGAGTGAATCTATCTGGTGCTACGTGCGCTCTCTCTCCTGATCCCAGACAGAGTGATTGATCGATTCCGTTGATTGATGTTGTTCTTATTGTCGTTGTAAAAATTACCGGATGATTGAGTAGGTGAAAATTTGCAGTGAATCAAGCAGTACGTTCATTGTAGTAGGCATACATGTGGTCGGTTTGTAGCCGGTGGGAAAACGGGAGCAGGAAAAACGTAGGCACGAAGGCAGACCGGCCGATAACTAGCTCAAGTGTCACATGATTTTCTAATGCGGTCAAGCAGGCATTTAAACAGTCAGGGAATCGATCAGCGGCTCATTCAATCAACCATCCCGGACACAGGCTTGCATGACATACGTGTCAGTCACACCAGGACCGCTCAGCCAGATTGGATGACTGCAGATCACTCACCAAACGTTTGTAGTCGGCAAAAATGTGTAATGTTATACATAAATGAAACTCTTTAGGTTTTATAATGTCCTCAGATGATTTCATCTCCCTAGAGAAAACTACACAATTGTGGATACCCATCGTGCTCGATAGAATCATGTTCCGGTGGACTGCATGCAAATAGACAATCGGGCTCTTCCGTGCAAGGATTCAGGAAAATTTGATATTCAATTCCAATAATGCGCCATTGAAGGCAACCGCATGAGACAACAAAATACATTCCCGTGCTCAGTCTAGATCATTATGGGGTAAGGTTAGCGAAATGTTTTCCCAATCTGATGCAATATTTTGGGAAATTTTCCATTTGGCTTCACTGATGGATACCTGTTGAAGATCACCTGCACGAATTGTCAGAACCATATGCAGAAATGAATGCTCAAGCACCGCCTAAAAACGTTAACTGGAACGTTTTCTGTTTGCTAAATAATTAACCCTGGGGTGTTTTGCTTTTGGTTCCCGAAAGTCGAACTAGGCATCAGAACAGGGTGTCTGAGGGGTTGATGAATTACACAGAGGAATTCATATCACTGTGTCTCTCAATGTTCCCGATTTCAGTGAGACTGGAAATTTTGAAGGTGTTTCCGTTTCATGCGAATTCACAGACATCGGGTCTGTGTGTTGTTGCGACTGTGTAAGTCGCGTTCTTTGCCCCGGGACCGTATGGTTCAGGGGTTGTCGACTCTCAAACTGATTGACCGCAGTTCGAGTCCAGCAGGGACAGAATGAGAGAAAATACTCACGGGTGATTGGACCCCAAACGGAGGAACAAACAGTTACTCTTAAGCACTTCTTTTTGACCGTCATATAAATATTTCTCTAGGAGACAGGAAAGTGTTTTCTGTACCAACAACAAAAACAAACAAAAAAAGTCCAGTTACGCTTTTGATCGCGAAGCCAGAAATATATAATAGAAAACCGCATTATCCTTGATTACATGTAAAATATAATCAACTAGACGACGTAAACGGTGAATGAAGTAATAAAAATCATGAGGAACGAAATAAATAATTCGCTAATAACTCTATTAACTCCCTTTTATTTCACGATTGAATACATTATCAAACGATTGTATTTTACACAACTATTCTGATCTGAGTTCAGAGGGAAAATCAAAGAATTGTGTGTTATGTTATTCCGACGTATCGGGCATTCATATACTGATCGAATAATTAATTAATTGATTGAATAACTGACTGATTATTCGATTAATTGATTGATTGAAGAATCACTCGTTTACGATGGCTACTTGAAATTACGCTATTGATTCAAAAATTCAAACAGCACTGGCCTTCTCCGGTCCTTCAACTGGTTCTGTTGATCGAGGAAACTAAGTGAGGTGTGTTTTCTAAGAGAAAGTAAACGTACATGCACTAGTGCGTTTAGTTCCTGAAGGAGATAGAATACAATAGTAATTTAAGAGAGTACAATCCTGGCTTTTGCTTTTATGTTTAGATGCAGGTCAATATATATATCCTTGCAATATAAATCGCTGTATATGTAGGGGAGAGATTTTATGAACGTGGACACGCCGGAATGAACTAGAGAGAACGTGATTAGTTGGGGCGAGACACAATGGGATGAGGTAGTTTAAACAGGGGAGACCGACTGACGAGTCGAATTCAACTCCGGATGAATAGAGAGACAGACAGATACATGAATACGGTCTCTCTATCTGCTGGTGTTGATAGACGAATAAGCATATACTAACACACACACACACACACACACACCGAAAGACGAACAGGTAGATGGATGAAACATAATGTGTGTGTAATTCCGGTTGTTTTCAATCAATAAACAGGGATGAGGATTCAGATCGGGATGAACACGAAACAACGAACGTGACACGCATCGTGAACCAATTTTGGAAAAATCGATTTCAACTCATTATTGATTTGACAAAGGATAGTTATGGTAGAACAGCGTTATATTCGCCCTCTCTGTCTCCCCCGCCTCGTGTTGGTGGTGATGATAGTGGAAACTCTCGCACCCGAGTTAGTGTGTGGGAAGAGAGAAGTTCAGAAAAGTTGCGGGCATCCAATCGAAATGCGTATTTCGTATAATCTTATAATTATCTGAATTGTTGAACCAAGGATCAAAGAAATGTCACGAATGTCACGAATAGTCACACGCTAAGCATACTTAATTTATATCCCCCGAATCGTAAGATACCCCAAAACAATAAAATTAGTTGACGAGTTCCTTGTAGATAAAATAACCATGGAAATCTCATCGTGTGCAACACTGTCGAATGAGATTGTTTAATACGTGGTAAAATCAGATGCAGTCAATTAGCTCGGTTCCTCTCGTTGAATGGCAGTTCAGGTGGTTGCTCGCTGGAGCAGTTATATGCCAACAGGTAGCATGAGAGACGATAATTTGTCGAATTTGAAATACGAAATACACACAGTGAATTTAACATACATTATATCGGGGGTGAGTATCTGCTGGCACTTAGCTGTAGCGGAAGTTTTCTCCGCGCGTGAAATGAAACTCGTCTATTGTAACCTACACCTAACTGATTCGTTTGTCATATATACCTGTGGCCAAACTGATTGATCGATTGGCTGACTGATTGAAAACTGACTTGACGGCATTCGCATGTAGTGCGACGTGCGAGCCGGTGTCGACCTGCCTGCTTGCCTTGCTACACGTTGTTCGTTCCTACTTGTTCCTCGGTTTGTGAACCGGCTGCATATTTACTGTTTACAATAAACTTACTGCTGAATTCGTTGTGTGCTCATCTACCTGCCTAATTTGGAACATAACACAATTCATGCATACAGTAACGTCATGTTGCTTGACTTTATGACCAAAACCCCAGTTATAAATACTCACTATTTAGTCCTGAATGTTTCGATTAAAAAGATTGATCCTCACTAGAGTTTGAATATGAGCTACTACAACAGGATCAGCTGTTTCTCCACTACGGAATTTCGATAAATGCTTTGATGTTCCCTCTGGCCGTATGACAGGTTCCTGTTTTAATAGAATATTGTATAGTAATCCACCAAAAATTTCTGTTATTAATAATACCATTTCTAGGGATAACCCCATAAAATTCCTCAATTCCCTTTCCACATATTTAATTTCTGGTCCTAAAGCACAGAAAGCGATTTCATCGGGATTCATAGACTGTCTTGTTTCACTTTCATACTTAAAAGACTTCCGTTTCTCAGTTGTAGTTATTGAATTCGAGACAGCTCGCATTCTTCTCCAAGGGCTATGCTACTCCCCAGTCCCCCCAACCCGCCGTCTAAAAGAGAAAAACTTTCTCTTTGGTTCCCGGTCTAAAAACTTCTTTTCCATTTCGGTAGTATTACCAAGATTGTGTTGGTTGATCTTATTCTGTCGAAGCAGTTTGATGAATGCGATCGACTCTCAGGCTATAAATTGTCTGATAAATACTATCCATCATCTGTCTGTCTGTCAATCTCTTGTGAACTGTTTTTGTCTCATACCCGAACACGTTCCAGATATAGACTATGGTTTTTGCCGTACTACCACATACTGAAAGAGTGTCATCAGTTATCTTACCCTTACTTAAGTAATTCAGATATGGCCCGCAACAAACTTTCAAAGATGGGTTGTGCTATATCGTGTAAATGGAAAATGAAAACGATCAGCTGCCCGGTGGCGTAGTGGGTAGCACGCTTGCGTTCTGCTCATGAAGTCCCGGGTCCAGCTGCTCGGTGGTGTAGTGGGTAGCACGCTTGCGTTCTGCCCATGTAGTCCAGGGTTCGATCCCCAGTCGGGTCGATGGATTCGCACTGCTGATGAGACTCAACCAGGTGGAAACAGCTGTCCGGTGCTTGCGAGCTTTTCAGTTCACGCTTCGTTTGCTATATACACGACGAATTCCCATTTGTAATTCAGATATCTATCGGTATAAGTTTGATGAATTATCGACAGAATTAGCACCATACCGAGTCAAATGCAGGTTCCCGTTGACTTGAAATGTTTGTGAAAAGCGTTATGAAAACCAATCAGTTGGGAACGGTTGAAAGTTGAAGGTGGTTACTTAGTAGTAACAGGCCGAATAGTTCTTTGGGAAAATGTTAGAAGGTAATTACGATGGATGTTGAAAGATTATGTAACAGAACATCCATCGATCCAATACTTCTAGATATCCACTGAATATAAAGCTAAGACAATCATGTAACTAACGACTTGGCAAATTCACACTATAACATTCCAACCTATGTCATGTGCGTGGGCAACTGATTGGGAGCGGGTACATTATACGGCCAATATCAGTTTAGCTCATATTGTGTTTATTTCGGTTGTTGTTTAAACTTACAGTGTTATTTGAGACGATTTTGGATTCCATGTTTTGATTCACTTAAAGCTGATGCGTCTGTCAGATGTCTGGTTACACCATTGCATATACAATCGATAGGTGCCCCTCAGCTGGCAAACAGGCCGGTGTCTAGTACTTCTGGGTATCCATTTACACTGGAGTAGCTCGTCAAGTAGATTGAACGCGAAAATGGGCGATAATCTTATTAGCCAGAATACCGTTGTCATACGTTTGTAGAGAGGATGCCTGCC